CGTATTTGTGCTTCCATCCTGAAAAGTCTGCATTGTAAGGGAGGATTTTTGAGTGGTTTTTTTTTTCTAAAACATTGGCGGCCTTCCCCATCGTTTCCTTTTAGCTTTGTCCCGAATTTTTCTACCCTAATACAAACTATATTTTAGGATTTCGTGTATTTTTTGCACAGCAAACTGAACTTAGGGAATGTTTCCGGCGAGAAAGATTCACCGGCTGTTGAGGCGAAGAAAAAGAAGAAGGAATTTGCTGACGAAGTACTTCAAATGGTTAGCTAAAATCAATCTTTTCGATTCTGCCTAGTGATTTGTATCGTTTGAGATCAACCGAATGAAATTTAGCGCAGTATTTTCTCCAGTTGCTATTGTATCCTGAGGGCTGGATCCGGGTTGTGTTTCGTCATCAAATAGATGGAGCTGTTTTTGTTTTTTCGATTTTCCCCGTTCAGAAGTAAAACGAATTTTTGTCTAAAGGCATCGTTGAACCAAAAAAAAAATCCAATAACGAAATAAAGGGGATAAAAAGATCTATACGAATATAGGAGCCAACTTCTTGCACCAGTGTGCCTGTAAGTGTTTTTAGAGGCCGTGTTTTATTCCGAGGTTGAATTCAAAGGCCTGAAGCTAGGCAGTGAGGTCGATCGCTTTGAATTTTTGACTTTGATGATTATTTGAAATGGATAAGGATTCAGTCTTTTTGTGTTTTTTTTTGAAAATGAATGATATAAACATTTTTATTGTCTATATTATTGGCTGTTTTTCTTTTCAGTCAGCCATATTTTCGTATGCAAATTTGCAAGTTGCATGTTCGCTGCAGCCAGTTTCGCTTGCGGACGCAAATTTGGAGTCCAATGCTGCCGATTATCCACTGATCAACGCTTATTTGAACAAGCAGCAACCGGAAACGACTCGTTTTTTCCTGGAAATAGTGATAAAAGCAATCGATTCGCGACCAGGTATGTTTACATCACTTTTTCTACTGCGTAATATCTTTTATATTGCATATCTTTATTTTTAATTTTGATGGCGCTTTGTTACATTATTCATTTT